TCTCTGTATGACGCAGAGAGACACGAAACACTCCGCAACTACATCAAACGTTTCGTAGAAGCCGTCCATGAAGTCCCCAGTGTGGGGCAAGACATGCTCTCAGGGATTATGCAACAGAACTTGAAACCGGGTAGATTCAAGGAATCTATTGCCGGAAGACCACCAGGCAACCTAGAGGAGTTGTTAAACCGAGCCGAAAAGTACGTCAGGATAGAGGAAGCTTCCACCCACGCTCCCCCTAAAAGGAAAAGGGAAGATGACCGTCAGGACAATAGGAGGCGTGATGACCGACGTCCACCACTTCCACCTCCAAGCCAACCCTCCTCTTCCTACAATAGGTTCACTCCGTTAAACGCTCGCCTCACTGAAATCCTTCACGTGATAGAACAGAGAGGTTTAGCGGAGCCTCCACGTCCTATGCAGCCTAACGCAAAGCGAGAAAAATCGGATCGCTATTGTCGATTCCATAAAGACAAAGGGCATACTACGGAGGAATGTGCACAACTTAAAATGGCGATTGAGAGGCTGATCAAACAAGGCCATTTAGGCGAATACGTCGACAAGCCACGAAATAAACGCCGTGATGATCCTCCACGCCGAGATAACAATCGAGATCAACAACAAAGACGAGAAGATGGGGGTCACCGACGTGACCTAGATAACAACGATAACCAGCCTACCCGGGGAATCATCTCCTTCATCTCCGGAGGACCGGCGGGGGGCGATTCACAGAATGCAAGACGCACACTCGCTCGATCAGCGCGCATGAATCAAGAACGCGCTTCTCCATCCGAACGCATATATCAAATACGAAGACCTGATCACAGCATAGTCTTCAACTCCTCCGACCTCGAAGGTCCAGATGAAGACCATGTCGATGCATTGGTCGTAACAACAACGGTGGCCAACTTCTTGGTCAAGAAGATATTAGTGGACGGCGGAAGTTCGGCTGACATCATGTACCTTCACGCTTTTAAGCAGCTGGGTATAGATAACGCCCGATTTAGTCCCGTCTCCACACCCCTGAAAGGATTCACAGGAGAAGGCATCTTATCCATGGGAGAAGTGGAGCTGCCTGTCTCTTTAGGGGAAGACCCCTGTCGAATCACGAAACTAATCAAGTTCCTCGTCGTCGACAGGCCATCACCCTACAACATCATTCTAGGGAGGCCAGCCATCCACACATTCAAGTCAGTACCTTCCTCCTACCATCAGAAGTGGAAGTTCCCTACTCCCTATGGAATGGGAGAAGTGCTTGGAGATAGACGTCTCGCTCGAGAATGCTATGCAAGGGCCCTACGAGAACCCTCAAAGAAGCCTAAACCGCCCGGAAAGGGAGACGATACCCAAAAATCCGACAAGCGGAAGTGGGTCAATGCAATCATTGAGGACAATAAAGAAATCCTCATCAGTGTACCAGACGATAGCATCAAGCTAGCGGCTGTCGAAGAGCTTAAGTTCATAGAGCTCACACCTGGAGATGATTCCAAACTCCTGCGCATCGGATCTGATTTAGATCCTGAGACGGAACAGCAGCTAATCAACTTCCTGCGACACAATGGAGATGTGTTCGCATGGAAAGCCCAAGATTTGTCGGGCATTCCCCCTCAGGTAGCCCTACATCGGCTTAACGTCGACAAGAGGATGAAGCCAGTCAAACAGAGGAAACGAACGTTTGGACCCGAACGCAACAAGCATATCAAGGCAGAAGTGGCTAAACTTCTAGATGCGGGTCATATACGACCAGTTCAGTATCCTGAATGGTTGTCGAACGTGGTACTCGTTCCCAAACCTGGGGGAAAGTGGAGGTTATGCGTGGATTTCACTGACCTCAACAAAGCTTGTCCCAAGGACCCATTTCCTCTACCCAGAATCGATCAACTCATCGATTCGACCTCGGGGTGTGAGCTCCTCAGCTTCCTCGATGCATACCAAGGATATAACCAGATCTTACTCGCGCCAGAGGATCAAGAGAGGGCTAGTTTCATCACTGACCAAGGCATCTACTGCTATCAAGTCATGCCCTTTGGATTAAAAAACGCAGGAGCCACATACCAACGTCTAGTGAACACAATGTTCGCAGATCAAATCGGTAAAAATATGGAGGTGTACATCGACGACATGCTCGTCAAAAGTGTCAAAACCTCAGATCACCTAACCGATCTGGATCAGTGCTTCGCTACCTTGCGAAAATACAAAATGAAACTCAACCCCCTCAAATGCTCGTTCGGAGTTCGAGGTGGTAAATTTT